CGCGCGGGATAGACGACGAGGACTCAGGTGCGGAGGTCCCCCCTCCGGTGTTCCCGGCCTTGGAGGGACTCTGCCCCGTGAGCTTCCCGTTGGCCCCGTGGCTTCGGCGGGACAAGACCGGGAGGGGCAGGCGGTGGGCGTGGGAATGTAGCCCCTCTCCTCTTCCTCCCAGTCAGGCCATTTCTCTGCCGCCTGGGGCCCGGGCGGTGGGGGCTGCACAGCCCAGGAACTTCTCCCTCCCCACCCCCGAAGGAAGCCAGACGCCCACTGGACACACTCTCCTCCTTGGCCCAGAGTGAGTCCAGCACGGGGAAGTGGGGGCGGTTTGGGGGGTGGGTGGAGTGGTGTTGGAGGTGGAATCTTCTTTGTCTTCCTGAAGAGCACTTCTGCATTAGCAAAGTTTCCTTTTTTTGCTGTTGTTGTTGGGGTGGAGGGTGGAGAGTATAGGGAGACAAGGCCACTTGGCAAGTCTCCTGAGAGGGTTGGGGGCTTGGGGTTGCTGCCTCCTGGGCTGGGGCAAGAGGAGTCCCAACTTTTGTTGGACAAACTCTCAAGCCCCGATTCCTTGATTTCTGAGTGCGCCCTTCAAGGACCTGTCTCGGCGCCAGAACTGGGCAGGGCCATGCCCCCCCCCGCCTTCCACATTTAGTTTCCGAAAATGAAAAGCCCCCTTGGTCTGGGAGAGCCTTTTGTGCTGTCCGGGGTATGTAGTGACAGTCATGGTGTGTGTGGAGGGTGTGGTCTGGGCCTCTCTGGTCTCCTTTGGGGGTGCGTCCAGGTGGAGTCCTGCCCAGCCAGCAGCCTCCACGCCCTCCAGCCCCACGCAGGCTCAGGGGAGCAGCATCTTAGGGCTGTGGGCTGCTCTGGGGGACCTGCTCTGCTGCTTGTGCTGACAGGCTGCACCCCACACCTTGGGATTCCAGAACATTGGACAGGGCGCTCAATCCCACCTGGCTCCCCGCCCCTTGCACAGGTGAGAACAGATCCAGGCGGTACTGGCCTTTGGCCTTTGGGACCCAGATCTCAGCTTGGGACTTACTCCAGGGCTAACCCTGCCCCCTTTCCCCACTGCTCCTTCCTCCTCCTCCTCTCCCTCTCTCAAACCCCCTTTCCTCCCCAAGCAGCTCCTGCCCCATCCTGCCCCCAGCCCAGGGCAGCACCCCCAGCTCACCTTAGGCCTGGCCCGTTCTACCGGCTGCCCACCCTGTCCTAGGGGTCAGCAGTGAGAATCTTGGCCCGAGGCCAAGACCCACCTGGGATTTGGGGGAGCACCAGGCCTCTTGCAGAGATCTGGTCCCAGTGGCCTTGCAGGCTTTGTCCTGGGGGGACCGGGGTTGGAGCTGGGGCTGTGCCCCAGGCCTCTGGGCCTGGCTGGGCTGCCCCATTCTGCCTGCCCTCTCACAGCTCCAGCAGGGGGCGGGCAGGGGAAAGGGAAGGAGCGACAAGTGGGACTGGGCCCATTTGGTGTCCAGGAGCAACTTGGCAAGGGGCTGGGACCCGGGGAGTGCTGGGCTTTGCGGAGGGGGCCTCCCTGCTTCCCAGACTCTCCTCCTGGGGGCTGTCTCCTGTGAAAGGGAGGGCTTGGGGGTGTGCCTGGGCCCTGACCCCTCCCCCACATTGCCCCGTGTGGGGCTTAGTGGGTGGGTGTGCGGTGGTGCAGCCACTGTCTCCCTCCTGGCAGAGTAACTCCCAGTGCCCAGAGAGGTTGATGCTACTTCCTTGGTGGGGGTTTTGCCTGGTCCCTGACCCCTCCCCCACATTGCCCCGTGTGGGGCTTAGTGGGTGGGTGTGCGGTGGTGCAGCCACTGTCTCCCTCCTGGCAGAGTAACTCCCAGTGCCCAGAGAGGTTGATGCTGAGACTTCCTTGGGGCCGGAGGGCCCCCTGAGGCCTCTGGGAGGAGATGGACCAGCCGCAGCTACAGGTGTGTGCTGGCTGTGCCCTTGTCCCACCTCAATGTGACCTGGCTGCCTGGGCTTCAGCTATTCTTGGTCATTGTCCCTATCTTGCCCCCCCAAACCCCCCATTGGCTTCTTGATGCTCTGGGCATTCCCAGGCACTGTCCTGCCTCTGAGCCCCCACACATGCTGTTCCCTCAGCCCTTTTCCCTCCCCTGGCGACTCTCATTCCTCCTCCTCCACTACCTTCACCTCCACCTGGGTCCAGCCTGCCTGGTCTCCCAGAGGGACCTGAGCCTTCCTCCGTGCCCCCCTCCCCGGTGCCCTCCTGCCTTCAGCCTTCCTCCGCATCCACAGCCACAGCAGGGGCAGGTTTCACCACCGGGTTTTGTACCTGCAGCCCCGGCCCAGCTTCTCCCAGGCTGGCCGCTGGGTCCTCTGCAGTGATGACCCTGCACCTGGCACCCAGGAAAAGCTCAATAAACTTTTGCAAAATGCATCAATGAGTGCAGTGTGGACTTACTGAAAACTTGTTTCAGGAGAATTTCCAGATATTTCGTTCAGCCCATTTGCACACCAGCAGCAGCGAGCAAGGTAGGACTCGTTGGCAGCCAGGGAGTCTCCTCTGGGCCAACCTGTGTTTCCTCTGGATAAGCAGGTCCCCCCCTGGTGCCTGGCTTCCCATGCCTGCGCTCACCCTTCTCATGGGCTTCAAGAATGATTTCTTTCCAAACGCCCTCCCACCTCTCCTGACTCCAGTGTGGCCAGACTGCACAGGTGGATACCTGCAGGGGGCGGGGAGGTGCTCCACGCTCAGTGGTCTGGCCTCAGTCCCTCTCCAGCCCCAGCCGGGCACCCTCCAGGAGTGTGAGGCAGGAATGGGGCCGACAGTGGGGCTCCCAGTGGTTGGGCAGCCTGGGAGCCAGGCCAGAAGAGCTTGTTGGGGCCTCAGGGCCTGGATGGAGTGGAGTGTCTGGGCAGCATTCGGGGCCTGGGCTCTTGGCCAAGGGGAGGAGCAGGCCTAGGGGCGATGCCCTGGGAACCTGCTGTATGACACAGCCGAGTCCTGTCCCTTCCTCTGGCTTCGTCTGCACTGTGCTTCCCAGTGCCTTCCCAGTGCTACCTCTAAACTCCAGGAGGTCCTAGGAAGTCCTATAGACCCTGTTCTGCCCCTGCCAGCTGCTGTGGGCCTGTGAGACCCCTACTTGAGGATGGAAGGTGCCTGGCCTCCTGGCCTCATTACTTGCTCCCAGCGCCATCGATCACCTACCCCATTCCCGCCTTAGCTCTGAGGTCCTCACTACATGGGCTGTCCCCACTCATCAGACCCAGGATGAGTTCTGACATGTTCTTGCCCTGAAGGCAGACACAGGAGTGCCCACAGGGCTCCCTGGTGCCCAGGCAGGCCCCTCACCCCAACCCCCTCCATTAGCTTCTTGAGGTGGACCGATGTCTGCCCGAGGTCCCGCATGGGAAGCTGCCTGGGCTGCCTGGGCGTTGGGGTGCTGAGCCACGTGTGTGAAGGACAGACCCTGCTCTGAACCCCGAGGCTGGCTGCAGGGCCACCGTCGTCAGGCCAGTCCGTCCTGTCCCTCTCTTACCCTCTCTGGAAAAAGGTGGGGGACAACCAGCCAGCAGACAGGCACTCTGAGTCCCTTTGATTCTCTGAGCCTAAAGTTCCTCAACCGAGAGGTGAACCTGGTGTCACGAACGTATGTTCACTACGCCACACAGGGGAAGGCCAGGTGCGCACGTGGTGTGTCTCTTTCTTTGTACCCCTGGAGGACATCATGGACCACCAGGAGGTACCACAGTGAGAAGAAAAAGTGAAATCGAGGAAGGACCCACTTCCCACTGGGGACACAGTGCAGCTGCTGTGTCCCCCCATGGACCACAGACCCATGACAGATGTTGTCCATGTGGCGAAACATGATTGGTTGATTGCCAGTGTCCGAAAGATAAAAATGACCGTCCCGCTGAGCCTCATGCATGGCTGTGCGTGTGGCTGGGCCTTCCTCAGTTTCCATCTGAATCTCGGGATCATCAGGGGGCAGCCTCCAGGCTGTGTGCGAGCTAAATGAGAGGAGGCTTGTGACCAGCAGGGGAGCTCAGGTTGCACTGGGACCCTCAAAGGGCAGACCTGGGAAGCGGTGACAAGATTGCTCCCTCCTGAGGCTTCTGTCCTTTTGCCACGGACCCGTTCCCCAACCCTCATCCATGCGAGGCTCCCGGAGGGAGTCAGCCAGGTCTCCGGCCAGCGCGCTGGGAGGGTAGGCGTGCTCAAGGAGGATGCGCTCCAGCCTTCCTCTTGGCTCCTCCACCAAGGCCCCTGGTCTTCCACAGGACCTTCTGGAGCAGGTGGGGGACACGAAGGGCAGGGAAGGCGATGGCTCTGTGTGTCCCAACAGGAGCACGGCACTGCCTTCCCACTCACTCCATGGCGGCCAAGCTGTGTGATCTCGGGCAAGTTACACCAACTCTCTGTGCCTCCGTCTGAGAAATGAGCACAGCAGTCACCTGACAGGGAGGTTATGGTAAGAAAAAGTCAGTCACGCACCCACCGCCCCCAGAGTAGAGTCCAGGGCACGGAAGTGCAGTGTAACTAGTAGTGACGGCTGGCATGAGCCCCCACCAAATGCCAGGCACTGTGAGCAAGTGTAACTCGGCTCTCGGGCACTTCAGGAGCTTGTGTCCAGGTGCCCACCAGCTCGGCCCGCTCCTTGTCCGCAAAAGGCCTCCAAGCTGCGGGCTTCCTCGTCCCAGTGGCCCATCGCAGTGAAGCCTTGTGGTCCCCAGGCACCGCCCTGAGCCCAGTAATTGCGTTGGGTTCAGGTTTGCACGTGGCAGAAACTCCATCCAAAGTAACTTTAACTAAGAAGGAATTTACTGGCCGTAGTCAGTGCAAAGTCCAGGAGGGGCCATGCCATCAGGCACGGCTGTATCCAGGTGCTCAAAGGATGCTGCCAAGGCCCTGCCTCTCCGGCCTCTGCCCAGCTTGGTTCTCAGGCGGCTCTCTCTCTCTGCACGTGGGCAAGGTGGCCCCAGGAGCCCTGGCTTTGGGGGTCCTGGCCACCCAGAGAGGAGAGAGAGCACAATCACTCAAGGCAGAAACCTTGGGGAGGCCTATGGGGGATCAGCTGCCTTGGGCAGATCTGGGTGTTGTGCCCATCTATCTCAGAGAGGGGTCCCGACTCACGTGAACTGTGCGGATCCTCCCAGATAGGGGCAGGGGAGCTGCTGGAGACACATACATGTTGAATACCAAGGAGCATGATAACAGTAGCGGCTGCCTTTCTTGAGCCACATAGTTAATGGGGTACAGACATTTACTGTCCCCATTTCACAGATGAGAAACTGAGGCTCAGAGAGGTGATTTGCCTGAGGACGCAGAGCTGATGTCTGACTCCAAAACCCCTACTCTCCAGTTAACAGGTGTTCAGCCAGGGTGCTCTGGGGGCAGAAGGGCCCCATCTGCGGGGGAGGAGGGCATGGGGAGGTCTGGAGGGGGTGTGATGACCTGGCTGCTCACTGGCCCAGTGGAGCCCCAGGGAGGAGAAGGTCTGTGGCAGAGGCTGCTGAGTTTTTGGGGATACACCGGGGACCTCAGGAGACGATGTCCAGGTGGGCAGAGGTCCAAGCCTCACACTGTAATAAGGCCGGTTCGCTTTGCTTTTGGGATTCACAGCATCCGGGGAAAGATGGCTGCTGACAAGCCGGGGGGCAATGGCGGGAGGGGGAACCCACAGCACCCATCCCCATGTCGCTGCAGGGCCAGCTCAAACCAGCCCCGCGGCAGCCCCCACAGCCTGGCCGCAGGGTCAGAGCCTTGGTAGCGCTGTTCCGGGCAAAGGCTTCTCGACAAATGGCATTTCCAGGGGCCGCAGGCTGAACCGGGTGGGAATGCCGGTCAGCTGAGGCCATCGTCCTGTAAGGAGCAGGCCTTTCCATCTGAGGGGAACTTTGACCTTTGGAATCTCACAGATTTGATGAAGATCCTGCGGGCATGTTCCTGAACCTCTCTGGGCTGCAGTTGCTCATCGGTGAAGGAGGGCGCTGGTACCCTCTGCCTATGGCCTGGGAGATTGTGGGTGTGGCGTGCCTGGCACCGAAGGGTTCGAGGAGCAGCAGTGTGTGTGTATGACCGCCTTTTCCCAGCCAGTGTCTGATGGTTCTGATTGGGGGGGTGGGGGTGGGGGGGTGGCAGTCTGGCTCTGCGAGGGGAGAAATGTGTCCATATTCTTGGCAACGTGGGGTGTCACGGGCAGTGGGTGGGAGGTGGCGGCGATGGCCATTTGGCCAGAGTGGACTAAGAGAGTCCTTCCTCGCTCCTGGTGGTCCTGCCACCAAGAAGGCCCTCCCCACTTCCTCACTCTCAGCCCCAGAAGTCGATCTTCTTCAGGGCTTGGCACAACGCCACTCCTGGCATCCCGAGATCTTCCTGTCAGCTGGGGTGCTCTGCCTCCCTGTGTGCCCCGCACCGACCGTGGCCCCCCGGGCAGGCTGGGACTGACCCACCTGTCAGCCAGGCCAGCAGATGGTGGACGCAGGAGCCGGGAGAGCTTCTGGATTTGCACCCTCTTCCTGTGTGACCCTGAACAAGCCCTCGGCCTTTTGAGCCTCAGAGGCTCGAGGGGTGTGCGGTGTGTCTCAGAGCAGGTGGTGGTACCTGGTGGGTGAGGAACCCGGCCCGCCATCTATGGGCACAGTGATGATAACCGCACAACGACGAGTGCTGGTTTCTCTGTGCTGTGAGGTTCAGCTGCTCTGGGGTCTTGGTGGGCTCCCTGGTCTGCCTGGAGTAGGGGTGGGGTGGGGGGTGGGGGGGCTGGTCTCAGCTGACTCAGGGTGGTTCCGGCTGAGATGATGGCTCTGCTCTGCTCCACGCATCCCTGGTCCTCGGGCAGCTCGCCTGGGCCTGATCTCACGGGGTAGGGGAGGCATGGAAAGAAAGCCTGGTGCACAAACTCTTTGAAAGCCCCGCCCATTCTGTGTCTGCTCACATCCCATCCCATTGGCTCAGGATTGTGGGTGAGCACCCATGGGGTGGGGGCGGTGGTTGAGGGTGCTGCAAAGCTGTGCAGACTTACCTGCTCAGGGTCTGGAGCCAGAACTGGAACCCGGGCTTCCCTGCCACATCCCTCCAACCTGCCCCTCCCTTCTCCCCCTTCTCCCTCACTCTCCGACCGCCCCCTGTGCCTAGGTCTGAGCTCCCTGGGTGGCATGTGGATTAGAGGATGTTCACAGTGATGCCTCTGCCCTTTAAGGCAAAAGGCTCCTGCGACCATCCTGGCCCAGCTGTCACTCCGAGGAGGACAGTCTGGTGAAGGCAGCATGGAGTCTGCCCTGGGCACCTGCTGGCGGGTGGGCTCGGTAACCTGCTGCCAACAGCCAGGCAGGGCAGCAAATGAGCATCTTCTGAGGTTGAGGCTGGGGGTCCGGACATGTCCTGAGCACTCGCTGTCCTGCAATGGAGAGTCACCTCCCTGAGACCATGTG